GAGGTTATTTGGGCCTATTTTCACATGTTTTATTCACTGATTTTTTCTGGTTTGGTGAGATTCCATGTGCATCCTATACTTGCCATATAACTCATGTTTGCTAGCCAATCTTGCACGCTATTTTAGTCCATCTTGCTAGCACTTTTTGGCCATGCTTTGAACTGAAAATGTTCATGTTTTGGGACTGCCTTGGCTCTTTCTTTATACTTTATGATCAAATAATGCATGCTTTGTATAGTTATATGTCATTCCATGTGCCTAATTTTGAGTTTCAGGGTTTGTCTCATGCATCGGGTGCCATTTTTCCATGTTTTGGGGCTGTTTAGCATCATGTTTCAATGCTGAAATCATATGTTTGTATGCCATATTGCATCCCTTGCCATGCCTTGGTAGAGTCACATTTTATGCCTTAGGTTCGGTCCTCGGTTTGCGTGCATGTGTGCACGCATTTCAATTGTCTCATTTTCATCTAATGACCACTGATTTTGGCATGCTTGCGAGCTATCCATGTTAGTTTAAGTCCATCATCGCATGTTGTTGTATGCCATGTATGCTTACATGTTTAAGTTGTGTGCCTATTGCATATTAGATGCATTGCATAATCATGTTGCATTAGCCTTGCTTGCATGCTTAGGTTGCATTACATTGTGCATGCATCCCTTGCCTCTTGATCAAGCATGATAGAGGTTGGGGCCTTTGATGTGTTTTGTGTGTGCATTCCATTTGATATCGAAGTTGCTAACTTGGCCTCTTAGGCCATCATGCATCAAAATGCATAATTGATGGCCCGAGAGTCGAAGGCCATGCTCCCTTGAGTCCATTACATGATAGGGAGTGTGTCCATGCATACATTTGCCTAAAAATTTCATGCCATACACTGCTTGCCCTCTGCTGCTGTCAATTACAGGTTCTGCAGGAAGATTTGGCCGGTCGGCTAAATACAGTGCCGACCGGCCAGTAATCTGTGGCCGATAGATCAAAAGGCAGCCGGTGATCATCCCCTTCGGTCGGTGGAATTTTATCTTAGCCGGTGGTATTCCCTAACATCCAGAGAGCATACTCTTGAACTTTGGCAATCCCCAGAGGAGTAGGGCAGTGTTAATAGAGGCAACAGTGCTATGGCAGCGAGTTTCCGAGTGAGATGGGTCAAGCATGCATCATTCACACATTCCGAGGCAAGGCTGTGGTCCCCTTCCTTTTGCATTTAATTTGTTAATTAATTAGAAGTTCTGTAATAAGTAATTTAGTATTATTTATTCGAACTGTATTATTTATTTGGACCCTCCGAGCGAGGGCAATTGTGTAATAAGTGTGCGTGAATGTGTGTATGTCTTCCAATCCCACGCCTTTCTTCCCTTTTATTTACTAGCTTTCAATGGTTAGTCTAAGGCATGTTTCAATTAGCATACAGTATGATAGCATGTTTGCATCATTTCATTCATTTTGCATGCACCGGGCTCGGCGCATCATTCTAACTGCATTTGTATTTCAATTCCAAATTGAATACGTGTTATCTGTTGCATTTCACATGCTATGTTCAAGATAGCCGAGCCTATTCTAGCTGTATCCTGCATGTGTTACTTTAGCCATCTTAACATGAACTAGGATCATGCATATGATTACTAACTATTTTTTGTTTTGGCTTGGAGTACTCTGTAAGTCCTTTTGCTTTAGCATACCGCATGCGTGTGAGTGTTGCCATAATTGCATGATTGCCATGAGGCTAGCTGCTTATGTGATATAACTGCTTGAATGCCTGTGGATGAAGGTTGAATTGCTTAAATTGGGATAACGCATTAAAACTATGAATTTTAAGCCCACTAAATAGTGGCAAAAATCATCTTTTCTAAAGTTCACTTGAGGGTGGCAAAACCTGCATTTTAGCCTACTTGCGAGTAGCAAACCATTTTCAAAACAAACATGTAATGTTTTGTTCCAATTTAGGCGATTTGGTCTATACTTGTTTGCTGTGCGCATAACATAGTAATTCTAGGCTAATAACCGGAATAAGAATGCATAAACGTTTTCAAAATTGGATATCATGGTTAGTAGAGGCCGATCTTCGGATCGGGCGAGAGGGGGTGCTCATAGCTGACCTCCCCCAATCGTACCCAAGCTCCCGAGCCGAGGCAACTTTGGTGATGACGGACACGTGGCCTTTGGCACCGAGTCAGGGTTTCCCCCCCATAAAAAATATTTAGGTGACGACTCTGTATCTGGCAAAGCAATCCATGTTTGGTACTTCTTTTCTAAAAATCTGTTTTTCTCAAAACGATTTGCCGGATTTGGACTCTTTGGTTCAAATTAAGAACTGTGACAATCTGAGAGTCCTGAACTGTAGTGAACCCAAAACGAACAGAACCGGGGGGGGGGGAACTCGTTCTCCCGGGGCGTTCGGGGACGTCTACAGGTGTACAGGGTCCGGATTGGTTCGGTTTTGAGAAAATCCAAGAACCGAACCAATCCTAACGATTCTGTGATTTTGAGAACCAAACCAGACCATTACACTTGTAAAACTGGACCAGAACCAAACCGAAAAAATGGTTCGGTTTCGGTTTGGTTTACGGTTCCAAAATTTTCTATTTACAAGAATAAATTGTTAATATTAGCAAAATAATTACTTAAACTAATTACATTTAACTCATGATAAAAACCAATAATATTAAGGCATTACTCAATGTTACATATCTATACTATCCTAATATCATTAAAATTATAAAAAACCAATTAATAAAAATAAAACTTGATATTATGTATATATCTTTCAAAATTCGGTTTGGTTCGGTTCGAACCGCAGTTTTTTCATAAAATCCATTAACCGAACCGTTTTTACGGTTCTCATATTTCTTAATCCGAAATCTAACCAATTCTTAATAGAACCGAACCAAACCGTATGATTCGGTCTGGTTCGGTCCGGATTACCGGTTTGAACGAATTTTTAAACAGCCCTATTTCTTGAGTCTGTTAGAGAATTTTGGCTGTGCTGATGGTTGCAGGTTGATGTTGATGTTCAAACACTTCTCTGTTCCTATCTTTCCATATATTCCAAATGGCAGATAAGAATATAGTAAGCCCATTGAATGTCCTCCAACTTGTGCTTGCTTTTCATGTTAGACCTGATCCATTCAGGTAGAGGGATTCTATCTCCTTCTTGCCACCAAGGGAGGCTTCTCAAACTGACCCAGATTAATTTAGCTTTGGGGCAGCCTCTAAGAAGGTGGCTCATGTCCTCTCTAGCAGTTTGGCATTTGGAGCAGATGTCTGAATCTGTGAGCTTCCTCTTGAGTCTCATCTGATTAGTAAGCAATCTTCCATGCATGGTCAACCAGAGAAAACTTCTTACTCCCTGTGAGGCCTTAATTTTCCAAACCCATTGCCAGTCAAAGTCATTCTCATCCTATTAGGAAATAGCATTGTAGGCAGTAGAAGTAATAAAATTGCCATTGGTGGTGCCTTGCCTGGTAGAAGTGTCCATGAAAGTGACATACCTAGGCCTGTAAATTTGTAGAATGCTCTCTTTTTCTTCTTGGGAGATCAGATTTTGGATTGGGGACAAATTCCATTGGCCTTCATCATCTAAAATGGAACTTACAGTTATAGTACTATCAATGTGAGGGCCCTGGTGATTGCTGCACAGTGGTGTTATGTCATACCACCAATCAGACCAGAGTGAGATATTCTCACCATTGCCCACATTCCATTTTATGTTAGCTTTCAACACCTCTCTGTTATTAATTATGCTCTTCCAAGTGTGGGAAGCTTTTCTCTTGAGAGGCCAACTGAATATGGAGTGGTGCTTAAGGTATTTAGATTTGAGAACAGTGCACCAGAAATTGTCAGCCTTGCTAATAATTTTCCTGCCAAGTTTGGATATAAGGGCAGAGTTATGGGCCCTGGCTTTTATAATGCCCAGCCCACCATTCCTTCTACTTTTGCAAACTTGGTTCCAATTAAGCAAATGAACTTTTTTGACAGGATCAGTGCTACCCCAAAGGAAATTCCTATTTAAGCTGTCAATTTTGTCATAGATATGTCTAGGTAATTCCATAGTTTGCACGAGATGATTGGGTATGGCAGAGGTAACAGAGTTCACAAGGGTGAGCCTACCTGCGAGGGACAAGTTTTTGGCCTTCCACCCAGATAACCTATGGGTCATTTTTTCAATGATGTGAGTGATATGATTCTTGTTGATTCTGCCATGGAGCAGAGAGGTACCAAGGTACTTTCCCAAGTCATTAATAAGAGAAAAGCCACACTGAAAGCTAAGGGGAAGGGCTTCCCTTCCAGGGATATTAGGAGAGACAAATAACTTGGATTTTTGAAAATTGATTTTCTGTCTAGAAACTTCACAAAATTCATTCAACGCTTCCACGATGGCAGTGCAATTTCTGGGATTAGCCTTAGCAAATAGAATAAGATCAACAGCAAAGAAAATGTGAGAGATAGGGGCTATTTCTAGAAGCTTTAAGGCTATGCTAATCACCATTTTGAGTTTTAAGTCGTATCATGTTAGATAGATTTTCCTTGCAAAGCACAAACAGATAGGGGGAAAGAGGGTCACCCTGTCGAAGTCCTCTCCCAACAGTTATGTTAGGGAGGGCCTCTCCATTCCAAATAATAGATGAGTTAACATTAGAAACACAGTTCATAATAAGATTAATCCAGGTAGGGTTGAGATTAAATTCTTTGAGCGTATGGTGAATGAATTCCCAGGAGATACGATCGTAAGCTTTTTCAAGATCAATCTTAAGCACCATACCTCCAATTTTGCCTTTCTTGGACTTGAGGGTATGAATAATTTCTTGGGTTATGATGATATTATCAGTGGTAGTTCTACCAGGGATAAAACTACTCTGATTAGGGCTAATTAAATCAGAAAGCAGAGGTCGGAAGCGATTGACAATAACTTTGGTGATGGTCTTATAAGTAACATTGCAAAGACTTAAAGGTCTAAACTGTTTTAAAGTCTCAGGATTCTCCAGCTTGGGGATTAACACAATCTATTTTGCATTGACCTCTTCAGGGATGGTCTGGGTGGAAAAACACTGTTTGACAAAATTGCACATGGATGGACCAACTATATTCCAGTTTTGGTGAAAGAAGACAGCTTGCAACCCATCTCTACCAGGAGCTTTAAAGGCTTTAATATTTTTAATGGCATTCCAGATTTCATGGTTAGTGATGGGAGCTTGAAGAGTAACATTATTATCTTGAGTAAAACCAGTATGAGTGATACTTTTCCAGTTATCCAACATAGGAGTAACCTCATGTTTAAACAGATCATTGAAATATTGGATAATGTGATTTTTGATATTCTCAGAATTAGAAAGCCAATTACCAGCACTATCCTTAATCATATTAATTTTAAGTTTCCTACATTTATTGAGGGTAGATATATGAAAGAATTTGGTATTCCTATCCCCCATGGTAAGCCATTTAACCTTGGACTTTTGAAACCAAATGAGTTCCTCTTGAAATAAGGTCATGTTGTACTGCTTAATGAGGTTATTTTCAAGGAGGTGCAGATTATGGGAAAACCCATGAGTTTGAGATTTCTGAATTCCTTCTATTTGGGCTAATAGGTTTCGCTTACGCTTATACACATTCCCAAAGACTTCTTTGTTCCAATTTTTAACATCATGGGTGAAGCCATTAATGGCCTCAACCAGATTAGAATCCATATTGGTCCAAGACTTTTTAACAACATCCGAGAAAGAAGGGTGGCAGAGCCAAGCTGCTTCAAATCTAAAAGGCCTAGAAGTAGGGGTAGAAGGATGCATACCTGTGTGAGAACAATGAGTGGGGAGTGGTCTGAATAAGTTCTGGGAAGTGTCCTCACTGTCCCTTCAGGAAATAAGGCTCTCCATTTGTCATTGCTCATAGCTCTATCAAGACGCTCCATGGTATTAGCCAGCCCATGGCGGTTGTTTGTCTAGGTGAGTCGAGGGCCGACACAACCTAGATCGATGAGATTACAGTTATTGATTCGCTCAGCAAATTTCTGGGTTCGGTTATGATTGTAGTGAGGAGAAAAGCTTCTCCTTTCATTGTGGTTGGTGTAGTCATTAAAATCAACCGCAACCAACCAGGGTTTCTCCATACTCCTAGTTGTCTCCTCCAGATTGTTCCAGAGTTCATCTCCTTGGGAGGGGTGGGGGCTAGCGTAAACTGCAGATAAGATCCATTCTTCATAGTCTTCTTTGTGGATTGTGGCCTGAATAACTTGGTTAGTTGCGTGTGACGCTCTTATACTGACATGGGCAGTGTCCCAGAGTAGCCAAATGCCGCCAGCTCTTCCTATTGTGTCCACTATTGTTGCAGCAGTAAACCCCATATTGTTGAAGTAGTTCCCCATTGAACTGAATGGAACTTTGGTTTCCATAAGGATGAGTCTCTCCGGTTTATGGGTGCTGATAAGTTCTCGCATATTGCGCTTAAAAGCACTATTGCCTACCCCTCGACAGTTCCAAACAAGAATATTTAGAGAATTCATAGTAGGATATTTAGAAAGGGGATTAGTGGCCAAACCAGGGAGAATGCTCTGAATTCGTCTATGATCTTGGTCCCTTGATCTTATGGAGGCCAACTGCACAGAATGGATTGAGGACTCGGTTCTCCAGTTCCAGCTTGGTTCTATTCACATCCGTATCTGCTCTATCCACCATACTGTGGCGACGAGGTGAGTTGTTGCGCTCCCTTGCTCTAACGACAGAACCAATGGATGATTCTCCATTCGGTGGGTAATCACCTCCAGACTTGTGTCCTCCTCCATCGCCATGTTTGAATCCTAGATCAGGGGGTTTTCTGTGCTTTATGGTTGTGGTTCCATCGCTCCATATTGTTAAAGGTTCAGAAGTAGGTGGAGTGGGTGTATGTGTTATAAGTGTTTCATATGGCTGATTTGCCATCGGGATTTCTGGGGGTGTAGAATCAGTTCCCATTGTACTGGTGTTGTTAGTTATAAAGTGGCTAGTCTGGTTACTATTGGATGTCTGGGGTAGAGAATCCTTATCTTCAGAGATGGTAACCATGGGGAGGCTCTGAGTGGGTGGAGTGAGGGTTGGTATTGGATGACCACTGGGATGTGTGGCCTTGGGCAGGATTTCAGTTTGTGAAACAGATGGCCCAGAGAGGGTTTTCTGGTATGGGCTAGGTGCCTCTTTTTCAAGGCCCAATCTTGTTGTTTTCTTGCCCCTACCCATTTCCTTTTTTTGTTGGGTCCCTTTGCTCAATTCTGAGAACTTGTTATAATTTGGGCTTGGTCCAGTAGTCTGGGTTTTCCTATTGATCACAGGCCTACGGGATCTCTTTGTCACCATCATCCAGGGCCCATATGGATCATTGCCTTCTTCTGCTGGTTGTTGTAGGTGACCGTTGGCACTGGAATTAGCCGTTGGAATTTGCTCTGGGTTTCCCTCAACGGTTGGTTGTATCCCTTCCGGTAGAAGAATATTCCGGTGGACAGCTTGTGACTTGGGGTATGCTGCCTGATATTTGCACAGTTCCTTGCGGTGATCTACCCTGCCACAGTGAAAACAAAATGAATTGATAGATTCGTATTCTATGTTATAGTTTTTTTTGCCTAGGAGGAATCTAGGACATAGTGGCTTGCGGAGATCGACTTCAACGCACACCCTTGCAAAACGGCCCCTAGTAGCCATAGCTGTGGTAAGATCAATTTTCAGGGGTTTACCAATCTGCCTAGCGATCGTATATAAGACTTTCTCTTGAAAATATTCAATTAGAAGCTCCGAAAACTGCACCCATACTGCAGTGGTGGTTTCAAAAGCTTCCAATGCCTTAAAATCAGGCTCTCATTTACGTATAGTGAGATAATGATCTATAATGACCCACGGTCCTCCAGAATATACATGTGCACAATCCTCCAAAGAGGAGAATTTGAACAGGAAACAGTTATTACCCAAATCTATAACATTAAAGTCCTCTTGTAGGCCCCAGAGGTTCTTAACTCTGGTGCAGAGCATCTTGTACCCGATGTTCTTGCCCAGTAGTCTGACAATTAATGTATTGGCCCAGGGTCTGCGAATTTGTTCCAGTAATCTCTTCGGAAGGTGTATTTGTGACGCCCCAACTTTTTATTTTATTTTCTTGAAACGTCATAAGATTTAAATAACAATAACTTGCTAGATAAAATTTTAACTACTAATTAGGAAGTTTTAAATTCTTACATAGTCAAAGTCCAACAACAAAATAAAACTACAAGTTCACACACAACGTCACAACATTGTTCAATACTATTACAAGAGATAACAAGATTTTATTTTGATAAAATCTTGACTTTAAGTTAGCCAAGGCTCGATATTAGCAGCCGCTCCAATTTCAGCATCAATCCCTTCTTCGACATAATCTGGCATGAAACGCCAGGGCAACAAAATATATGCCATGAGTTTTGCAACACAGTAAGAAAACATAACCAACCTACCATTCTTTTTTAGAGAAAATAATGAGATTATAAACACGAGATAATAATATAATTGTAAACATAAACTACAACTATTAAAATAATTCAAATAATTTTAATAACTTAGGTGACCCTTGAAATCTCACCAAAGAGGTTTAACTTACCCACCACTAAGTCATGGCCACGGTTAATTTGGAAACCCTCCCTTGGTCAAATATTCAAGAACTACCAAAGATGCCCACACCCGGAGTTATATACCCAAGCCGTGACATCCGTGGTCTGCCCCAAGGAAATGATTTGCCAGGGGTACGTAACTTCCCTGCGTGCCACCCGCACATCCACCCTTATTCCAAAACCAAGTACTGATAAGGGTTCAAATAATCTCTGTGCCATCTTAGGATTTCGCGACACAATTTACTTAAAAATTATTAAAAACCAAGGCTCACCCTGAATACTCGGTATTAACCCTCTATCAGTAACTTTATATATATACCATTAATCATTTCGGTTAATTTGTATATTATACACAAATTATTCAAATCTCAATCACCAATAATGTTATACCAACTAAAAAAAAACTCCCAACATTATACATGTCACACAAAAATAATTCAATGTACAAAATTTAATAGACAATTAATTAAACCATGGTATGAACATAATAACTCAGATACAAGAAATAAACCATAATTACACACATGCACAAATTTTTGATTTACAAAATTAGACTAGTACAATATTAAATAAATCACAACACACTCATACATGGATTACTAATTTATAATAGTTGATGGATTAGACCAACACAATATTGAAGTGATAATTTTATCCTGTCTAGAAAATTTCAGATTGTAACTTAGGTATTAAAAATTATAAATAAATTGTTTACACAATCCTAAAATCCATGCAATTGAACAGAATACTCAATAGGGATGTTTAGGTCACTTTTCAGAAAGAATTTTAGAAAAAGAAAATGTAAATAATCCTGTAAAATTTCAGCAATTTTTATGACACAGATTTGTCACATTGCCTTACATTAATTCATGCTTAATAATTTTTAATAGTTGTAATTTATGTTTACAATTATATTATTATCTCGTGTTTTAATCTCATTATTTTCTCTCAAAAAGAATGCTAGGTTGGTTATGTTTTCTTACTGTGTTGCAAAACTCATGGCATATATTTGTTGCCTGACGTTTCATGCCGATTATGTCGAAGAAGGGACTGAGCTGAAATTGGAGCAGCTGCTAATATCGAACTTGGCTAACTTAGAGTCAAGATTTTATCAAATAAAATCATGTTATCTCTTGTAATAGTATTTAACAATGTTGTGACGTTGTGTGTGAACTTGTAGTTTTATTTGTTGTTGGACTTTGACTATGTAAGAATTTAAACTTCCTAATTAGTAGTTAAAATTTTATCTAGCAAGTTATTGTTTTTAAATCTTATGACGTTTCAAGAAAAAAAAAAATTTTGGGGCGTCACAGTTTGGTATCAGAGCCTAGGTTTGAACCTTTGGGCCATGGGTAGTAATTTATTATTTTTACATTTAAGAAAACCTTACGTTAATTTGTAATTTTTCGGTGACTTAACTAAGTTAGAACCTTTTAATTATAGATGCCAGGTCGTCAGACATTAACTCTAACGAGGAAAATTCGGTGGAAAACTATGACATAGAATCTGACCCAAGTGAAGAAGTGGAGATGCCTATAGAAGACTATGAATCCGAGCCTAGGGCTTGACCCTGAACCTGATCCTGAACTTGAGTCTAAACCTGAGCTCGAAGAAGTTGTACCAATATACAAACCCCTGGAGGTTATTGTGATTGAGTCAGACACTGAAGAGGAGTCTATAGACGGCAATACCGAGGAGAGCATTGGAGATGTAGGAGTCGTGTTTGAGGTTGGGATGTGCGAATGGGTTACAGATTGTTCTTTTGTATATGTCAAACTTTATCCTCTAGGAGGTTGTGCTTGGAAAGCTGAGAGTTGGGTGGGTACCTATATCGAGCCTGTCCAGATTCTAAAACAAGAGACTCTGGGTGTATCAACTAGGCCCCTTCCCGGATGGTTCACCGATAGGGTGGGCGACCTTTTTGACATTTGAAGCTTTTTCAGTATATCATGCCCAACCCAGCAGAATTGTGAGGAGAGATGGTCAGTGGACTTTCAGGGACTGGAGGACCTATCGGGAGGAGCCGGTGCAGCTGCTAGGACATCGTATGTGTGAAACTACTATCTTCATGAGGGTGCTATGGCGATTCATGGGGTTTTCCAAGCCACATGGAGCTGGAAGCCCTTGTGAAGGGAGACTTTCCTTGGCTATTTTAAGGGGTCCTAGGGAATTATAAACATAGGCTAACCGTTATTTTGTATGCTCACATGTACAATTGCCTAGTTAAGAATTGTTGAGTGTAGGAGTTAACTCAGATTGTAGGCGCTATCTTTTTCCCGTAGTATGTTATTTAATATATTTTCTTTTGTTTATTTGTATTTTGCTAAGTGTAGCTTATCTAATCTAATTAATGAAGTTTTCTTTTTTTTTTACTATCCTTGCACATAAATATATAATAATAATAATAATAATGATAATAATAAATGAACAAATCACGAATTACTAAAAGAAAAAAAATTATATATATCCCATCATGGCAGAATGCTGGACGAACAAGGAAATAATAACAACGGTAATGGTGATGGAGTGTCTGATGGTGATGTCGCTCGAATTATACGCAGATTGCTGATAGGGTAGGCAATATACCACCTCGAAACCAAGATCAAAACAAATCTGAATTGATAGCAAAATTTGAAAAGCTACATCCCCACAAATTCTTGTGACTAACCCCCATGAAGCTAAAGCTTGGTTAAGAAAAATTAAGAGTTGGCTAGATATTTCCGACATCCGAAATGAACAAGATAGAGTGACCATGGCGGGCATTTCAAATGGAAGGGGAAGCAAATCATTAGTGGGAAATGGTCAAAGCACTCGAACAAGTAGAGATATTAACTTGGAGACAATTCGAAGACCTATTCATAGGAAAGTATTTTCCTAAACTCGCTAAGACAAGAAAT